CACACTTGACTCTACCACACTTGACTCTACGACACTTGACTCTACGACACTTGACTTTACCACACTTGACTCTACGACACTCTCTTTAGACTCTCTATAGACTCTCTATAGCCGACACTCATGGCCCCAAAACTCATGGCTAATGATGCTTTCGGGCCACTCGTCTTCTAGTCCGGGACTGTAGGGAGATAGTTCGTGAATCGGAGCATTTTCTGGCTACTGCTTACGCCAGATTTTGCAGGGGAGTGAGCTGAGGTTTCCTAGCAAAGCTGCCTCGCTACCCCATGACCATGGTGGCCCTTCACCAGCAGGCAGTTCATGTCAACTGATCTCTGAGCGCCATGCTTCATTGCAGTGCCTCAACAAGGGTATTCCCAAGGTACCGCTTGTGCAGCAATCAAGAGAAACGGGGGGCCATGGAGAGATCGTAGAGTTAACTCCCCAACTGCGTGCAGTTGAACCTCAGGATGACCTCTGACCCCTGCGGATGCAGATGGACAAGGATCAGGAGTGCAGGGAGCAGGAATGTCAGGTCCTGTGGATCCTGACCGCGACTGCCACGGAACCTTACGTACTGGATCTGAGTGCTATCCTCAACTCCATCTCAACCCAAACCAGAAGGGCCCAACGCCACGTCCGATGCCACGCCTGAGGAGGATGGCCACTATGCATGGCCGGAGGACTCCTGCCCAACAAAAACGGAGACCCAGAAGATTAGAACTCTCTGCCACGAACATGCTTGTGTGCAGTCCTCGGCCGTTGGCCGAAGGAGTTCCCCAAGCCACTCCTCCCTAAGCCGGAGTCGCAGAAAGTGTTTTGAACTTCAGATTTGGATCTGTGTGCACCGTGCCAGTGATGCTTTGTGAACGTGCAAGAAACCATCCTACCCTCACATTTCACGTTCAACCTAAAGCCTCGTGGTGTACAGATGACAACCTCCAACTCTGTACGCACTCCTGCTGTATTTTCGACACCGCGGGACATCTCCGGGCCACGGAGCCTAGCGCGCAGGAGTCCACACTCCGAAACTTTGCATGCGGCGACCCCGGTCGGAGACCTCGGGCTCGGACTCCGACAGCAAACCCCCCTTTTTTGTGGGCCCCGATCGGCCCAAGCAGCCGACCCACAGCACAGAAAGAGCCCGTTTCAAACACGGCCAAAGTTCTACGCCTAAGGAAGGACTTGCCCGGGGGGCCCATGGCCCGGCCGGGGGGCCTGGCCGCTCGGGCTCGGAGCAGTGAATTACTCGGCACCTCTGACCCGGTCAGAGGAGGAAACGGGAAACCCGGGCCTCAACCAGCTGGCTGATTCCGAGGCGAGCATCGGGCTTCCCCCGCTACTTCTACCGTCTGTAAACGGATCTCAAGCTCAGGTGACTCAAAAAGGCTGGGACCAGGGCTCATCCAGGCTTTGCTGAGGCACCTGGAAACCTGCAGGAAGCGACGCTTCCTGTGCTAGTGGGGCAGCTCTTCGCCGCCGTAAAATAAACCGATTTACGCGTCGTTCGTCGATGACCCACGTCTTGTGGGCTTGTGGGTCTTGCGAAAATAGTTATGTGACCTTCTCAAGTTGCCTGATTTGCTGCAGTGTTACACTCAACAATTCAATAATGACAATATTGCATACAGAAGCTATCGCTCAACTTCATCGACACCCAAGTCGACTTGGTCACACTCTTTCTTCCCAAAGCTCAGATTCGGCAAAACTCAAACGGCTGAGGAGTCTGTGACATGGAACACGGATGACACTGCTGCTCTCGTTTGCTAGGAAGCTGCTACAGCCCTCAGCAGTGAACTCATCCTCGCATCAGGATCTACAGGGCTGCGCTGACGCGCGCAGCGCAGCCTCGCATGTCTCCTCACGTGTCTCCTGGCTTCGGGCGCTTGCGGCTCGCCTGACAGGGCAGAACGCGCACGGCTCCCACTGTGGCAGAATAGACTCTCCGCTCCCCGGCTGATTACTGCGACTTGGCCCTCCCTCTTCCGAGGATCCGACAACCGTGTTTGACACACCCGGGCCTCGGCGAATGACAAAAGCACAAAGGGCAATAGGCGGCAATAGGGAAGTGCATCGACAACTCCTCCACACCTTGCTGGGCACTCGGAGCCCTGCTCTCGGTTCGTTTCCGACGCTGCAGCGTCTCCACCTGCGCCTGGAAGCACCGCTTGTCGCGACGCTTTGACTCAAACACTGTCACGAAGACCCATACGACACGATTTTCACTCCAGTGGCACCGCTTAGCATGGCACTGGCTTGCCGTGGCCATTTCCCCCAAGAGACGGCTTGTGGCCTCGGAACTCCAGGAAGGGCCAAGAGAACTCAGACTATCTCAGACTCCTCAGACTCGAATCGGAAACGGCCCAGCCCCCGTCCTGGGAGCCCACGAGCCGGGACGTCCGCCTCGATGCCGTTCCTGGCACGAGCGCCAGTCAAATCGCCTTCAAGATCCTCCCTACACCACCGCTGACAGGCTCCTGGGAATCTGTGTGGCCTCCAAACCTGGCGATGCATGTGTCACAAGAATCTTAGAAGCCACTAGTCACTAGCTGAACATGATTGAACATGTCCCACATCTCACTGCGACTGCGGGATTCAATTTAGGTCGTGCACTACTCCTGTTCGCTCCGTTTCCATGTAGCACGAACAAGCGCTCGAACGTGCTAACCCGTCACAGGAGCATTCAAGCTGCATCTGGCAGACCAGCAATGATGCGCCTCCTAGGACTTCTGCGGTAGGCGTTAGCTGAACTGCAAACTGAGTCCAGTAGACAGGATACTCTTCATTGTCAGCTTTCTGCCTCGGTGCTTCTGTACAGAGGAAGCGCTGTCTTGGACAGGAGGCTCACCCAGGCTCCGCTTCACGCCTCCCACGTGCATTCTCGACACTTGGCTCGTGCAAGCTCGGCATCTGCTCTTAAGGCTTCAAGCCAGTACCACTTGGCAACGACTTGGCTTCACAACACAGCTCAGCTGCAGAAAAGAGCACTCTATGCCTCTATGCGCCGGAGACATTGTCAAAACAAATCAACGTGCCAAGTTCCGGTCTTGAGTAGGAATTCAATTACTTTAAACGCTCGCCAGCTCCCTCACCGTACTCAGGAATCCAAGCTCAGACGCTGGATCTGAATGGCACTGCGAGACTCATGATGTGGACGTAGGCCAACTGCTGCCACACGCCACGTCATGCCTCGGCTACTCATCAAAACCCTTTGAGGGCCGAGTCCTTCTCAGCCCGCCATACCAAAGAGCCAGAGTCTTTCCCAACGTGGCATGGTTGCTGGCCGTCATCGCGGTCTTCCTTTCACGGGATGCGAATTCAGGATCCCCTGCTTTCTCGCCTACTTGATCCTTTTTGGGGCAAAGAAGTTCTCACTGAGGCACCCATCAACGGTCACCGTGAGCTGGCCGGAATGGCGCTCCAGAGAAACGTCGTGCCATTCTCCACACCACTCTTGAGGCCTCAGAGGGCCAGGGCCAGGGCCCAGATGGCCCAGGGCCCAGGGCTGCGATGCTCCGAGGCACTCCATGACTTCCCCCGGAAAGAGGACGGCGGAGCCCCAGTGTGCGCCAGACTTCAGGATGTGGCTGCCCTGGCGGTTCACCACCTGGCACAGGTCACAACGTCAAGACTTGAGCACGGAGACCCCGGAAGCCGCTTCGACAGCCAAGTTGGAATGATCCAAAACGTGCAGCCGAGGGGCAAAGCCTATTTGGTCGAGCCAGCTTCCGTCGCAGTCCATCTGGTGGGACTGGAAGTAAGGATGTCTGGCTCCCTTCGGCGCCGTGTCCCAAAAAACAAAGAGCACAGCAGTCAACTCCGAGTGAGCCACGCCTTGGAGTCAGCTCTGTCCCCTCACCCACACCAGGAAAGCCATTAGAAGGCTAGGAGAAGCTATACTAACATGGCTATACCGGTCTTGCAGAGAGCTGCGGAAGCGAGTGTGCACTGAAAAGTTCCCAGGAAGCTGGATCGGCCACTTGACGTACTCATTCGCCCCCTTCATAAGGAAGGCACCGTCCACAGTCCTCAGAAGCTTGCAGATATGCCACGCCCTGCTCACGGAACAGCTTGCGACCAGGATTCCCATAGCATCCAGAACTGCAGTAAGCACCATCGACAAGCTTGCCCAAGTGAATTCCACAGCGTCTGTCTTGGATTACCAGCTGCAGCTCCACATCGTGTGACTTTGCCACCTGTCCTTCAGTGACCGAGTACTTTGGAAACGAAGCTCAAATGTGCTCGTCAACAGTACTGTACTGACGCTACTAGTTACCAGTTACTTGGAACCTAATTTGGAGGATGCCATGGCATCCAAGTCTCGCAAGCAAGCGCTGTCAGCCAAGACTTCTGACCCACAAATGAGCTCCTGTCTGCAAGACAAGGCCGTGAGGACAGTTTGTACAAGGATCACGGCACACAGGCACAACCCGAGGAGACACAGTAAGGCGAGTCAAGTACATCCGAGAAGATCTCTGCACATCCGCCAGATCGGAACCAGCCTGCCGGTAGGCGGGGACGTCCTGGCACCTCTCCTCACAAACAAAAGTACGTCTCTCATTCACTCCCGCCCACTCCGTCTCTCTCGGTTCTCTCAATGCCACCAACGGTCGATCTCTTCTTTCAGCTCACCGGCAGTCAGCGTCTCCACTCGCTCCGCGCCGTCCTCGGATTCATCAGAGAGCTCTGGCTACGATGTGCTCGACGATAATATCACATCGAGAGCTACAACGACATTGGCGCGACTTCCATGTCGGAACCAATCAGACAGATACCGCGTACCAGAAGCGAGGCAGGAAGGCAAAGCATCAGGTCCGATTCAGCTGCAGACAAGGAGCCAAGATCCTGCCGCAGCTAGTTTCAGCGAGACACGCAGAGAGGATCAAACTACTCATCATGTGCTGTCTATAAGAATACTGAATCCAGAAACGATGAAAACACTACGACTACGATTCTGAATGGCGCTCCAAGCTCAGACAGCGAACCAAGTTGTTCGTGGCACGGCTGCCAACATGATGCGTGAGACCCGGCAAAGCGCCAGGGGATAAAGCATGTGTCTCTGCACGAACGCTGATAATGAGCGATGCTGGCCCACTGTAGTCGTTGTAACACTTGCTACCATGCCGACTGACTATGACTCCTGCTATTGCCTGTTTGCTCTTGCTACTTCTTGTCCTCTTATCACTGTGGGTCTTTGCCTTATTGTGCTGTTCATCTTGCTGCTGTCATCCTTCCTACTGACACCGCTATCAGCAGCAGCCTCCTCAGTTGCGCCACTCTTACCATTCGTGCGACTGTTGGGATTCTCGTCGTCTTGGGCTTACGGTATGACCTTATCGGGCCAATGACGAGCCTTCGAAGTATGACAAGCCTTCGAAGTACTACTGCGACACACTGCAAAGCTTGCCATTGCTGTGTGTAATTAGCGTTTAATGTTTGCTCGAGTTCGCTGACATTCGGTGCAAGATTTCTGAGAATCTGGGGCACGAGTTGCACACAGCATCGACTGACAACATGGCACAACAAATCTTTCGAGAGAGAGCAGGTCTTCTATTGGTCCGTTGTTGCATCACTGGGAATGTTCCTGAGGCTTCAGAACACAGCTTTGATTCTGGGTTATTCTTGGCATCTGCCTCAAGAGAAGTGGTAGATGCTTTTTAGGTAAAGTCGAGGGATCACAGTTTTCGGGCCAAAGTCGGAGTCGAAAGCATACGATGTTCGGAACGCCCTCCTGCATTTTACAAACAAGGTCTCGTCTCATGGGAAACAAAGACAACTGCGATGCCGCATCGTGCAAGTTTGGGATCCCTCGCATTCTCAGGTCTCTGGTGTTCTTCGTGTTAACTCACAGAAATGCACCACAAAGGAAAGACACACCAAGGTTGCGATTTCCTGCTGGGAATGTGATTTTGGAAATAGCGGAAAATGTAGTGCCTGAGAAAAGATTCAAGAAAAATGGGACACTCCGCGCACATGACTGAAAGGCTTCTTCCGCTTCAGCGTCTAAAGCACAATACGATGACGATGTAAACACGAATACGATTGCATTCTACAGTCCAAGCCAAGAAGTCATCGGGGGCGCATTGGGTAGAAACGATAGAAATCAAAACAATCCCAGACATGTGACCTCAGGAGGTACAGTCTAGCTACTCTGCAATATCTATGCTTACTGGAAGAGTGGAAGCCTTGCAGCTAGTTACAGCTAGTTGGCTGATGGGGAGTGCTCCATCGTGGCGTTCAAGAGTTGCTATGCACATACAAATACAAAAGCAAAACAAGTGGTAAAAAAACCGACACAAACGACTCTTGCAAATCCTTCCAAGCACAGCAGCTCGTCATAAGTACAAGATCGGGTCCAGCGTTTGAAAGATCCGGGAACCTACAAACGTGGGGCTGTAAACGATTTCCACTGTGCTCCAGTGCCGTCCCATAGTTGGCTTTACCGACCTTATCTTCCGCATTTCTCTTTGTAAGTGCCACTGCAACAGAAGTCGCCCTTCATGACTTTGGATGAGTTTACACTTTACACAGTTCGAAACTGCTCTGTCCGCAGACAGACCTACTAGTGTGGCAACATCACATTGAAACATCAGAGCACTCGATCAGCAGGCCGTATACTGGTGCACAGGTGAGCTTCCTTCCTTCGAAGACGGAACTTTGAAATCCCACCAAGTTTCACAAGAACAGAAAGGCAGAGGTGTGGGAACATCAACGTCGTCCAGTATGATATACAATTCATGATGCAGTACAGCCTTCTTGAAGCCTGGAAACCGATCCACTGCATTCGAGGTCCTCTCGCCCGTCAGTCGCACCACAGTGACATTGGCCGAGGAAGCCTGTCTCGGGGCTTCTCGAAAACATCATCGCAGGAATCACTGCAGTTGCAATCTCGGTCCAATCCTGGCCCGGAATGTCGATCTCACGAACCTTACTAAGCAGCGAGATTCTTGGAAGTCGCAGGGGTGCGCAGTGTACATATCCGCCCTGGGACACCGGACGTAGCTGATCTTCTGGGAAGCGCATCCCATGTGGAGGTGTCCGCGGAAGCTTTTCGGACGTGTCGCTCGATGGCTCTCGTTGTGTTTGGATCTGCTGCCGCTTGTCCCGCTTGCTCTGTGTAGCTTGGCAAAAGACTGCCTCACGACCGCTATTCGAGAGGCGCTTCGAGTGCAAATGCAAAGGGACATCAGACGCGTCTTGACAAGCTGCCGAAACTCTGCCGGGCTCCGGATGTCCACGACATGACCCGGCAAGCGGCACACTTGCAGTGCACCTGAGGCAGTCATGGCCACCGTAGCCTGCAGAGAGGCTCCGTGCTTCACCTAGGCCCGACTTGCGAAGTGGCCACGGGCGCAAGAGCAACTGAGACCACTGGGAATCCCAAGCCCAAGCCCGACCAAGAGACATTGGGCCCAGGCCACGTCACCAGCATTCTTGAGCAAGCTGGCCAGAGGCCTAGCAGTTCAATGAGGCGAGGCGACTCGACAATGACACGCCCGACAGACTCGAAGAGATTCGTGCCAGAGTTCACACTGCCAGGAGCACCTGCACCTGCTGAGGCCACCACTCGGACTTTCCAGGATAATACAAATACACAAACCAACCGAGGTAGCGCACCTGAACACTGTCTTCTTCGCCCAAACAAATCACCGGGATTCACAGACATCACGACTCAAGCGAAGCACTGAAATTCAACTACACAAGGGGTGCCTCTGCCCCCTGGAAGGCGTCTGGCCGCAACAGCAGGGCCTGGTCCATGCTACAACTCCGTTCGCAAAGCAGCAATAGTCACACAGTCAATAGTGCTGTCTTTGGAGGCATGCTTGTGTTCGCATCTTCGCGTTGCTCCGTGTCTCCCGTCTCCCCCAGTCTCTACTCGGCTATACGAAAGTGTTCAGCCATCCGCCTCCAGAGCGGCAACGCCCACACCGAAAACGTAAATGCCAACCTGCCAACTGGACGTGGGTTGTCGGCTCCGGGAATGGACACTAAGAGATAATACTGGAGCGTTTGTGCGTGTAAACACTGGCATCGCACGTACATCTGTGATGGGAACAGGAACAAGAAAGCCAGAGCTGCTCGAACAAGAAGCTTCCAGTCATGAAGGCTTTCGTGGCTGTCCCCTCTGCAAGCAAGGCATCTCTGTCCTGCTCCAGCATGTGGATGGCTATGTGCAGCCACGGGAAGCCCCAGAATCTCTCGATGAAACCCCACCTTGCGGTCGCGAGAAGCAAAATCATCTCTGCAAAAAATGCGATCGATTCCCAGTCTGAGACGCGCAGGCGGCTTCTGTCTCTCTGAGAGCCCCGCTCGAAGCCAACAAGGCACTCCACGAGCGACAAGACCTGAGAACGTTTACATCCACAGCGCCAAAAGCGAAGGCCGAAGGCAGAGAGGCGGTGGCCATCGCTGAGCTCAGAAGACTGCCAGCAGTGGTGACCTTCGCGAAAGGCTTCGCCAGCATTGCTCCAGGACTCTAGGCGCCGCCCATTCCGAATGCAATTTTCCCGTCTGTGGGCCGTCTGAAACCGCAACCTACAGCCCGGGGCACATGCCAAGCCGTACGTGGCTTTCTCTGCAGCCCTGTTTGAAGTCCGGGCCTCATCTGGTTGCTTGATTCGGGTCTAGTGCGGATGTGCAGCTTTCGCAGGTGGAGCGAAACCGGGGTGCAGGCCATGATGCCGGCCAGAGCAGTGGCTAAGAAGACCTCAGCCCCCACTTGGCTCCCGAGAGTTCTTTCCAGACCGCAGCGCAGGAGTCCGCAGGAGACACATAGAAGCGAGGGCACGACCCCAGGAGCCTGAACTATGAACAAAGTCCAGACCTGTCCACGAACACAGTACCCACAAAGCCAAGTGTACACGGCATCCTGTGTGTACACCACTGAGTTCCTGGCTCCACCATGCTCTAGCCTGTATGGCAGAGTCGCGACCGTACTCACCTTAAAGTTTTGCTGTTGGGCATTTCTTGATGATGCGAGCCCAAGACCAGCACCAGCACTGTCTCAGCAGCGATGACAATCGCCCCACCTGGGTCACGGCAGATCTGAAAAAGCACCTGCCGCCCCGCAGTCTTTCAAGGGGCGGACGTAAAAGGACGCTCTCCAAGGCTCTGTGCACCACGTGGCTGAACATCACGAAGGTTAGCAGCGCCTTGATGCGGCGTCAGATCGTTGTACAAGCAAACCGTACGCGTCAGTTCAGCTCAGGTGAGCTTCTGGGAAAAAGGTGGGAACGCCCTATCAGGTCAGAGCAAAGCAAGAGACACGGCAACCCCGTCTGGAAACTCGGATGCCAGCGTTGCTCATCACTGCAATCACCTGTCACCAACATCTCGTCACAGCCAGTAGGGATCATCGGTTCATGCCGAAATACTTGGAGAAAATTGGTAGAATGCGAAGCGAGATGCTGTTCAAGACATGTGCTCGCGCAAACGCGGTCAAGCACAACTCAGCCCAAGTCACAGTCGTGGAGAAAATGTGCATCTGAAGCGTCAGATGCGCAGTGAAGGCTAATGAGTACCTCTGCAAGAAATACCGGCACAACAAGAACGTGGCACAGACAAAGATGCACTGAGACAACAATCTAGCCATCAGTCGTCGTTCTTGGGATTCGTCTTGATCACTGCTTCAGGGAAAACACGGCCCAGTAGCCTTGAGTCTTCTCATCGTCGTCGGCATGGTCAATGCGATTCTTATTGCTCTTGCTCTTGCAGTTTACACTAGCAGCTAGCATCACTGTTGATGGCTTCGGCTTCTGCCGCTGCTGCTGCTGCCGCCGCCACCGCCGCTGCTGCTGCCGTCGCTGGCTCCGCTGGTGCCGTTTGTGCTGGCGATGCTGCTTCTGCTGGTGTTTTGTGGCAGTACCTCCAGCTCACTCGAAACCACACAATGTGTTGGAGCAAAATGCCCTCAAAAGGGAACAGGTGCTCACAACACGCACCAAAGCGGTAGTTGTTGCTGCTGTTGCTATTGTTGACGAAATTGCTGCTGCAGCTGCTGCTGGTGATGTTGATTTGCTGTTCGGTGTTCGTTGCGGTTGCTGTGTCGTTATCGTTGCAGCGGTCGCTGTCGTTGCGCTTGCGCTTGCAGTTGAAAACGCTTTTCCTCTTGTTGTTGCCACCGCTGCTGTTGTGGTTGTGCAGAACGTGGTCAATGCTTGCAACCGGTCGAGGGCTCACATACAACAGGTGACCGCGTAGATCGCCATCACCTGATCAGCATGTCAACGTTTAGTGTGTGCTAGCAGCATATCGCAAGTGAAATGCAAACGATAGCGTTCCACCCCATGCTACGAGCCATCGGATTGCTAGGCGCGCATGATCGACTTTCACTGCATGCAGAGCTGTCCTTCGAGCCATAGCCAAAGCGCAGCCCCAGGTACAATAGCAGCGCCCCGGCCACTGGGATGGTTGTCAAGACCTGCCACATCAGAAACAGGACGACAACACAGCAGTACTTGAAAGAGAAGTGTTCTGAATCTGACATTAGAGTCAAGCTGAACGTGGCCGCACGACGCTCCAGAACTCGCCCACAACGCCGCTTACCAAGTAGTTGGGCTCGGGATGATCCCATGCCTGTCTCGTCAAACTCTACAGCAGACTGCCCACGGGTAAGTCGAAACTCGCACAATGTTTCAACCAGCGGAAAAAACGCAAGGGTGCCGACCGACGGCAGTGTGCCCCAGAAGCCTTCTTGTTGGTTGTCCGGGAACGCCTCGACCAGGCACAGAAACACAATTAGCTCGCTTACGAGTTGACGCTTCTGCGGGCCCGGCGCTCCCGAACGTAGGAATCTTGTTGGACAGGTGAAGGGCCAGTAGTGCTGTGCACCAAACGGCAGGCACAGCGGCTGCAACAGCCGCCACCTCAATGAGCGCTGACTACCAGTGTTCGAGACAGCGTCGCGGAGAAAAAAAAGCTTGAATGTGCCGGCCTCATGGAAGTGCAAAGGCTCAGCCTGCATTCCCTGCGGGCTGCGCCGAGACACAACGGCCCCGAGGACGATGGAAGCTCACGTCTGCTTGTGTTCTGTCAACAATCCACTATGCGCCCTGCCGTGCAACGCGTTGGAAGGAAAAAACCTCAACATATCTTGCATATGAATATTCAAGGAACCACTCCATAATCCAACATCTCAAAACGATCTTGGGACACTTTGCCCTGCTGCCACCCCATGCGACCTCGACAACCGTAAATGCTGCGAGCACCCGGCATTCATGTTCACACACATCTGAAACAATCTCGAAAATCCGCATGAAACCTCCGCCGCCGAAACCCTGAGTTCGCTTCGAAGATCTCCTTATTGCTTTCATCGCGAAATTATATGAAGCTTTTGATTGCTATTGTTGGCTTGTGCATGCACTTCACTGAATTGCAGACCGAAGCTTTTATGCATGGTCACCTGGGTAGTTTCCTTTAGAGCTGTGTTCTTTGATGGCTGTAAAGGCCCTGTCTGTTGGTCAAGGTCTTGAAACGTGCATTGGAACGAACGATCAATCCAGTCGCTCTGCTACAACGACAAGTCAAGGACCTCAAGCGCAAACGTGCTTTTACTTCGTGCGCTTCAGGAGGCGCAGCAAAACCATCCGGACCTTGTGCATCGGGTAACCCTCCTGGAGGTGGCTGGGCTGTTTTAAAGGCAGTTAGGCCTGCTTCAATAACTTTTAATGAGTTTCCTTGCCAACATATAGGCATCTTTGCTTTTATTAGCATTGTAAAAAAATGCTTGTGTAAGCAATGTCTTCTGGTGTAACTACCATCTTGTTCAAAAATGCCCATATACATATGCCTCGGCAACGAAGCTGCATGCAGTCGGATGTTTATTCGCCCGGCCTTGGGAGTCTGTTTGCTGCCATCAAACGATGAAGCACGCTTGCTGACACAGCTCTAACCGAGAGTCACGCTGCAGGCCGAAGCATTTTACACCTTTTGGAGCTCAGAGGTCTCGGTTTGGCGGAGCCATCGTAGCATGACGGAGCGGCGCTCAAGCCTAGTGTTCAAAAGTGATCACTACGAAGGTTCCCCTCTTCGACTCAAGCGCTCGTCCAAGAAATCAATCATCGCAGCTGTGGACCTTATGGGCTTAGCTGCGGAACATTGCTGACACTTGTCGCTGTCCTCATAAATCCGTCCTTTAAAAGGAATCAAGCCCCGATCCAGCCTTCCACAAGCCATGCTGGAACATCCCTTCAGCTTGATGTGGAGCTTGCGAGTCCGTGGGTTCTCGAAGACTTCGCCCTTTTCATTCCAATCAAGGGGCGGAACAAAACTGTTGGCTCGAGTGTCCTGAGCCCTGAGTGCCGGGAATTCATCGGCAGAGACACTCTCATCATCGGAGACATCGTCTTCCGACCCGTCAAGCCCCGCCGTGCCGCTCGGTGCGTTGCTCTCCTCAAAGGGGAGAAGACGCGGCCTCCTCCGGGGCCAATTCCACCCGGGAGGCAGCCGATTCAGGTCGAGGGTTGGCCTCGACTGGGGCCGGAGATCCCCGTGGCTGTGCTTCAACCTTTCCCTGTGCAACCAGGGATTTAGGATTTAGGGTTTAGGGTTTAGGGTGTAGGGTTTAGGGTGTAGGGTTTAGGGTTTAGGGATTTAGGGTTTAGGGTTCCGGGCCACAACAAGGTCTGCTTCTGATGTGCAGCAACCTGAACCAATTCCACGTTCTGCTGCGAAGGGAAAGAATCGAAGAACCGTACAACAACACATCGTACAACCTCATTAGTTAGCCATGCAGGAACCCCGTAGCAAACCCAATAAGAAGCCTGAAGTCTAAGAGTCCTCGATAGGGTTGCTAGAGTCCTAGAGGCTCTCATCATCTCTATAACTAGAATAGGGTTATGGGGTGACTCGGACCAAAGTCTGAA